GAGTCCGGCCGGCTTGGGCGTCTTGACTTCACCCAGCTCCGGGCCCGGACCCCTCCCGCGGCCTTCCCGCCTCAGGGCCTTGGCCGCGCCCTGTGAGGATCAGGCAGGCCAGCTCTTCCGACTGCCGGCCAGGCGGCGCCCCAGTCCCGGTCCTTCGCGAAGCGCAGGCAGCAGGAGCTTACAGAGCGCTTTATTAAACGGGAAGGAGCGGGGCGGGAGAGCGAGCAGGATGCTTCTTCACTCCGCGTAGGTAGCGTCGTCGTTGCTGTCACTGTAGCCGGAGGAGGAGAGCTCCTCGGGGGGTGTGCAGGCCGGGCACTGTTGCCGCATGTCATCCCAACACGACTGGCAGTACACAGCCTCGCAGTCGGGCGTCGGGCACACGTAGGACTTGGGCGTCTCAGGTGCCTGGCACACCACGCAGCGCCGGCGCAGCCAGCGGCGCAGGAGCGGGCAGCGGCGGTGCAGGATGTCCATCAGATGGCGATGCTGTTGGGAGGGGGGTTAAAGACAGCTGGGGAGCGAGCGGAGGAAGAAGGGCTTGCGAAGGGAACTCACTGCGCTTCTCGTCTGAATTCCCAAGGCCTGACAGGCCCACACGTTGGAGGAGGCTGGGTTGGGCAAAGAAGACCCCTGGAGGGCGAGAGTGCTATGGAAGTGGGTTCTACAGAGCCTCCCTCCCCCACTCCGCGATGGAGAGTGGGAGGATGCAGCCTCCAGGCTGTCTCCCAGCTGATATCTGAAACGACTGTCATTTGCACTTTCGCATAAACCATCTTACTTGGATCTCACCGTGAGGCTGAGAAGTGAGTATGGCAGACAGACTATCACTACTGCTCTCCCCACTTTACAGATGAGAAGGGTGAAGTGACTTTCCCAAAGGCACGCAGATCGTGAACAATCAAGCCTGGCGAGACCCAGGTGCTCTAATTCCAAATCACAAGCCTAGGTGATTATGCTCCCCCGTCCCTGAACGTTGTTGTCTCTTCTGTGCTAGTTTCTCCTTAGAGTAGCCCTGGCACTTGACATTCCCTTTGGACTCTGTCTTTGCACATTCTGTTCCCTTGGCTTGGAATGAATGTCCCTCACATTTCCATCTGCTCATTCAAATCCAGTTTATTTCAGGATAGGGTCAAGGACTCTCAGTATGCTCTTTTGTTGTTGATTGTTGTTTGTTTTTTCATCAAATATTCATTCACTCCCTATTGTGTGTCAGTGGGGGTTGGAGGAATCTAGGCACTAGAGTTAAGCAAACGGTTTCACTTTAATGAACTTTGTTAGGGCTGATTAAATAAGAATGGCTGCCATTCATTGTTCTGTTTATAATGTCAGGCCCTGTACTAAGAAAATGTAATTAACCCAATTCAAACAATAGGGCTGGCTGGTTAGCCAGCTGGTTAGACCGCAGCCTTATAACACCAAGGTCATGGGTTCGGATCCCTTTACCAGCCAGCTGCCAAAGCAAACAGTAACCATATGAGACAGATGTTGTTATTGCCTTCATGTCTTTTTGAGGTGAGAAAACTGACACTTGGAGAGGTGGTCACTTGCTCAGTGTCTCACAATGGTAACAAACATGTATACAGAACTTGCTGCATGCCAGCACCATGAGAATTAAAATTCATTAATCCTTACAACAACCAGATGGAGAAATTAACTCCATTTTACAGAAAGGAAAAAACCAAGGTACAGCAGTTATGTGCTGAAGATCACACAGTTGTCATTAATAAGGGGAGGAGCCAGGACTCAAACCCAGGCCCTCTGGCACCAGAGCTCCACACCTGACTACTACTCTATACTGATCTCTAGTGATCAGGCCTTTCAGATTTGTCCAACCTTCCATTCTTCAGAGGGAGTAACTGAAGCCCAGTGAGGACCTTGGGCAAGGTCACACAGCTGAATGAAGGAGTGTGAATTGGAACCTGGTTTTTCTGACTCTGTGCTATTTCCATATACCACGTGCTCCTGGCATGAGGCCTTCCTGACCCCCAGTCCACCTGCCTCCTCCCCCTCTTCTGAACTGCACTGATCATCTTGTATGCAACCCTCTCAGTAGAACCTGTGGCTTTGCCTTTGGCCCCTGCTTCTCTGATGAACCCCTCTTGCTTTCCTATGACCAGACTGTATTAAATCTGATTCCTCTTCTCTGCCTGCTTCTTGATAGTCCACTAAATTTCTCAGGCAGGCTGAATCCTGGGGTACAGAGATGGACACAGCCCTGACTTCTAGGAGCTGGATGGCTGGGACTCTTGGCATGCATAGTGTCAGAACTCACTGAGCTCAGGTAGGCCTGGGACCACTATGGGTGCTGGGCCGACTGGAGGAAATTGCCCCCTCCCCCACAGCTCTCGGACCCAGGCAGAAGCTGGCCAGAGTGCACAAGCCTGTACTCACTGGAGCCTTCTGCTGTCGCACCCGCCTCACAATGACAGCCCTCCTCAGTTTGGTGAAGGCTGCTCTCTTCCTCAGTAGCTCATTGTAGAGGAACAGGATCCGCTTCTTCTCTTGCTGGGGGCGGGGAGAGGGGGTCAATGACAGTGACAATGCCGAGGAAGAAAGCATCCCCCAAAGATGGGGTTGGTAGGGAGATGGGTGTGGGCAAGTGTGTTTGTGTGTGTGTGCCCATGGGTGTGTAAATGTGCCGAGGTCTGGGGAGGGGCTCACCTTGGGGAAGTAGAAGGCTGCGATGACCCTCCGGAGCCGGTAGCCAAAAGCCTGAACCAGGCAGAGACACACTAGGAGGCCAATTGGTAGCACAGCTCTCCAATAGGCCCTGGCATCCAGGCTCACGGGCTGGGGCAGGCAGGCTGGAGGAGGGAGCAGGCCGGTCAGGGGTCTGGTCAAGGTCAGCTGAGGGACAGGGCAGCCCTGGGGCGAACTCCCCATCCCAGTGCGAAATGCAGGCTAGGCCTCTGATTGCTCTGCTCTCCTGCCTGCCCCTCGCCCTGCAGAGCTGCACTTTCAATACTGGAGCCATTAGGCCCATGAGGCTGTTTACTCAGTGTGACACAGATCTTGAAAATTGCCATCACGGCAGAAAGTTCTCTTGGACAGCACTGCTGTACAGGGCTGGGACTCTCTGGCCCCAAGGACCCGGCCCCAGACTCTTCTGACCCAAGCTTGTTATCCTCCACTTCTTCAAGCTTGCCCTGATGTGTTCCTTACCCCTATTTCCCCAACTCAAGCACACCAGCCCCGATCTCTCCATACCAACAGCCAAGTCCCACAACTCTTTACCCTCGAATTTTTTTTTTTTTTTTTTTTTTTTTTTTTAAAGATGACCGGTAAGGGGATCTTAACCCTTGACTTGGTGTTGTCAGCACCACGCTCACCCAGTGAGCTAACCGGCCATCCCTATAGGGGATTCCAAACCCATGGCCTTGGTGTTATCAGCACCGCACTCTCCCGAGTGAGCCACGGGCCGGCCCCAACGCTGGAATTTTTTGACTCTTGCTCCCAGCCCTCAATTCTGATCTGAACTTTCAACATCACTCACGCATGTTGTTTGATTCCACTGCTGTCTCTGAGGAGGTATTCAGGGCCCCAATAGTTTTCCGAAGAAGCCGGGCGAGCATGGAGTCTCCCTCTACCTTTACCTCCAGTTTATGACTGCCTGAGGCCAGAACAGGGTGGGGGTGGGGGTGGGGTGGGGTGTGGGAGTCAGGAAAGATTTGGAGTTAAGGGGGTGGGCCAGGATGGGGGCTGGATGTGGGGGAGGGGTCAAGGTATAGAAGTACTTCTTAGCTGCCCAGGCCTTTTCATGGCTTCACTAAATGCTAACCCCTTTCTGTAAATGGGTAGCTGAGGCCCTCAGTGACAGCTGTCAGGTTGGAGGGCTGAGATTTGATCTTGAGGAAGACAGGGGGCCTGAGTTACAGAAGGGGGAGCAGAAGAAGGAGACACAATAGGAAGAACTGGGGTGGGGTGGCTGCACAGGGGTTGGAGTTCTCCAGAGAGTGACTCCTGGGCCTGGACCCTGGAGTGGGGTTTGGGCTCACTGCGGAAGGAGTACTGCAGGAACGAGTGGTGGCGGATGGTGTCAAAGATGGAGTAGAGAGCCCAGTCTAGTCCGCACAGCAGCAGCAGCAGCAGCAGAACGGGCAGCGTCTCCAGGAGCTCCCTTACCTGCCCAAAGAGCAGGAGGGGTGGAGCTGGGCAGCCGCCGGCTCTGGCAAGGGGCACCTTTTGCCTCCACCCTCAGATTCATGCCTGGAGTTGCACCCAGAGGCCTCCTCCCACACCATCTTACCAAATTTCTCATTTCTGAGGCCTGGATAGTGGGCTTGCAGGGGAAGATGACGGTTT